TGCTTGGAAACATCGGAACCCTTAGGTACAGGGGTTGACACACACACAAAAAAAAAAACAGTACACGCAAGAAAAAGCAGGAGCAACTGAGCAACCACAAAGAAGCAATGGACAGCAAGGAAAAGCCAGGAAAAAGCACAACGACCAACGCAGGAATGAAAAACCAGAAAAGGCAACAAAAAGCATGCAAACCCAACAAAGAATTCCCCAAACGCAACACAAAAAAGTAGTCGGAAGAAAGAACACACATTCCTTTTCTAGAAGCCCCGCAGATCTATGCCAAGAGCTGCGGAGGTAACAGTTTTGTCAGATCTAGATCAACAATTTTTGTTGGGTTTCTGAATTTTGCATAATTTTGCCAGATCTAGATCAAGCAACAGTTTTTGTTGGGTTTACTAGATCTGATTGCTGTAGTATCTGTAGTGTCTTGCTGCTCGAGGGCTTTTTGCTTGTAGTTCTCATTCTTTGCCGCTCGAACGCCCCCGTGTCTTGCCGCTCGCCTTCCAAACCGAACTTCCATGAAACACCACCTCTCACCACTCGGCCCACACGTTGTCACCAACCCCTTGCAAGGCCAAAAAGCTGATATCCAAAATCAAAACCGTCAAAAACGATGTCCAAGATCGAAGCTGCTGGAGCAAGGTTTTACCCCTAGAGCTCCAACTATGTAGAGCTGCTGGGGAGAAGGTCTTTTGGGGGGTGGGTGCCAGAAGGTCTTCCCCAGGGTCTGAAGTGTGGGGCACCTGATTGGCCGACCGTCCAGGCGGATCCCTTCACTGCCGAGGCACCGCGAAGGCTGGCGGAGTCGGAGTCGGAGTCGGATCCGTCGGGTGAGTTCCGTGTGGCCCCATGTGGAGTCGGTGATAGCCGGTTGATCCAACAAGGGGGGAGTTCATTCGGACAACGGAGCAAAACACTTCAACATGGTATACACACATATATATATATATATGTGATATATGTGTTGTTCTCCTTAAAAGATCGCAAAGTGGGACATGAGCTAGATTCAATTCAATCAACAGCGTCTCTCCGACTGAGTCACAAACCATGTTTGCCCCGCGCTGGCCCCCGTACTACATGGAAAAACTACACATGAATGACAAATGAGACGTAGCTAATAAGTGATACAGGAGCGTTTGTCAAAACCTCACAGTTCCTTTAAAACCATTGTTTCAAGTCGGCTATAAGTCAAATTCAAGATCCTGCATGTTGGGACAAAGGACTCACATTCACGTGGAGGATCCTTCCTTTCGCGGCTCCAAGCATTGAAGGCACTGGAACATACTTCAACATTCACCCATGCACCCTGACCAGCTTGATGAGGCTTTTTTGCTTTGTCTTGAGCTGGCCTTGCTACCCCAAAACTTTCGCTGGTGACCTGGTGTCTCTGGCATGTATCCACTCCAAACAAAAAGACAGGCCGGGATGGTCCAGACTACCTGACCTCACTTGAATACTCGGAACATGAGCCTCGACTTGCAGATTCAGAGTACCGCTATAGTTGATGTATCGTCCAAGTCCTGATGAGCCCACATGAGTCATGAGCTCAATATTTGCACCAACCCCCCTGCGCCCCAGGTCGTCATCCTGGAGTAAAGCCCGAAACTGAGACAGTCCGGACACCCAACCCAGATAGCAAACGCGTCCTGCTTTTGGGGTTTGTTCCATGCTTCTATCAGATTCTATCAACTCCAGGGATGGTTGTACTTGACTCTGCCCAAATGGTCCGCTTCCCAGCGGTCCGCGCGATCAGCGCTCGTGCTCAGCTCGCCTACCCAAAGCACCGTGCGGTAGGAGTCCAAGAGCCCCTGGATCACCACCCAAAGACCTGCAGGGAGCGAAAACGACCCAAACGACCAGTCCTGGGGCCTTAGGAGCCAAACCAAGGGGGGTTGGAACAAAAGATCGAAGCTGAAAGGTGAAGGAAATCCGGAGTCTCCTTTTCAGCACCTCTGAGTCTTGTGGAGTCTTGTGTATCATGATATGATAGCTTTGGCAGTTTCCAGGGATAGTCATCCTGACATGCTCAAGGGGACAAACAACACACTCCCCTTCTTTGGTCTTAACATCATGCTTAGGTTGAGACAGTAGCTGTCCTCTACTGACATAAGGACAACAGGAAAGCTAGGTTGATCGTCTTGGTTTCTACCAGCGAATCAGTTGGGTATGTGGATGCTCTCAACATGTCCATGCTCTAAGAGGGGGACTTTCTTTTCTGGTGGAGGAGTTCGCGTGGCCAAGCCTTGAGGCTACTAAAGGTGCTCGCTGGATCCACTGGGTGGACAGGCTGAAGGTGCTCGCCATCGTACTGCTTGAGCTTGGGTGGACAACATGGGCCGCTTGGGACATCTGATCAACCCAAAGTGCCACAGTGTTCTCCAAATCCAACCACTTTGAAAACCATCAAAGGTATGACCAGGTCACACATATTTAGCGGAAACTCCTCTCTCTTTTGCACCATTGCCTATATGCAACCCAACTCAATGATTTGGATTGATTCAGTATGATTCAATATTGAGAGAGGGACCGCTGACCATCATTCCACCACGGGAAAAGTACTCCTCCGCTTGCACGTGCCCTTTCCGGCCCCTGCGCCCAAAAGACACCGTAAAGACAAAGAAAACAAAAACACATATTTAATACTTAAACAAGTTTAATCATATTGACATGGCCAAAACCATGTAAGATATGTAAGCAACAGGACAGCTCATTTGATTGCCTTCTTCCGTTCTCTTGAAGGCCATTTGTCTATATTCTTGCGATGCGGACCATGTGGACTGCCCTTGCTGCCCTGGGTCCGTCAGCTCCATACAGTTTAGTTTGTCATTGATGGAAAATAGGACCTTTCAGAGAGAAAACATACACTCCCTGGAATTAACATGGGAAGTGGAAAACCGCCTGTTTGTAGTGGAAAATGGTCTTCCAAGGGGCCATTCTCCACTTCCATGTTAGTGTCAGGGAGTGTAAATGCTTTGATTCTGTGAGATCGTCTTCCAGAACCCTACACAGAAGGCGAGGGCCTATCGTCCTCTCCTCGTGTGCGCAAAAAGGAGAACACGGCGGAAGAGTTTGTTTCTTAGAATTGGAACATCAGCATTGGAACAGATCCGAACACCGTTTCACATGAGCTGTTCGAGAGCACATGAGCTGTTCGTTCCACACAGGTTCCATGGTACTTCCACCCCCCGCGGCCCCTGGTGAACTCTCCTGGGCCCTTGACCCATCGAAGCATCAATGAATCATGGGCAAGCACGACGAAGTTGTGGTGAACTCAACAAAATCCTCAACACAAGTAATGAAGACCAGAAGTCAACTCACTCCCGAAAAAAGTACTTATATGAGATCTGATTCAATCTGACCCCCCCAATCTTGCACCCGCCGCCACCCGTGAAACACGGCCCGTGAAACACCCCTCCGCACCTGCTAAGACCTTGATCCCCCGAATGCTCCGCACCACCCGCAGCAGCCGGAAGAGCCGCAGGGACGAGGCCTGGTGGCGTCTGTTGATGGCGGCTCTGAGCCGCGACGAGAGTGGAGGGGCGAACTTGGTGGCGAAACTCCTGTGCAAAGAATGGTTTTCTCCGTACCGGTGGGATGCTTGCACATGAATGGTTTGGCATGAATGGTTGGACAACAGCTGAGAGGTGTTACACTCAGGCGAAACAGTTTTATCCAGTGTTTCGACTTGTAGGGCACCAACCACACTTGTTGGGACGTTGCGCCATCTTCCGTCGCTTGGACGTTCAGTTCACGGTCGGTTGGTGTTTGGATGCTTCCCGTCACCCGTCGCCCGTCATCCATCTATTGCACACTGAGGCTGTTCGGGGAATCAGGACCCAGCCAAGTGATCGGAGAGTCTCTTAGAGGTCACCAAGGAGGGGCTGGACACAAGGATCTAACTAGTAACAAACTATGAAGTGTTCATGGCTCATCTTGGAGGGCACCATGAAATGTTCACATCTCATCGCATATCAGACCCACACCCTTGAGGACTTTGGACTGCCTTCAATATAGAGCCACTGCAACCCAACTGATACCTCCCTAGGGCTCCAACCATCTCTCAGAAGGTGGTTAGACCCCCCAAACCCACCCCAACCACCTTCTCAGGAGCTAGGCCAGGAGCCCTAGGGCCTATACAAGTTCTACACGTCCGAGCGGCCAGCCGCATGCCGCCGCTGCCGGTGTCCGTGACAGAGACCAAGACGTCTGTCCAGCCAAAGACCTTTGGGATGTCGAAATCCGTTCATCGTTCTGAATCAATCTGAACCCTAAAAGTCTGGAGTCCAGCTATTTTCAGCCACACCAATGGACCAAGGAAACTCCTTTTCGGGTCACACAAACAATTTTATAAAGTTTGAAACAAGGTTTTTGATGGTTTTTCACTTTGAGCTGAAGTACGTGCGGGGGATTGTCGAAGTTTCTTGGATCCCAAATCATCCCATTTGGTCACCGCCCGAAGACATCGGCATGACATCTTGGAAGACTGGAAGACAACGTCTGCCTAAGTGCCTCCAAATTGGATGATAAACAAATAGACTCGCAATGACTCGTAGACTAAAAGGGGCTATGACAAAGACTCGTAGTTACTAGTCTAGTCCCTTGTCCCGAAAATTGCAAAATAGCAAAAGTAATCCAACTTTGCAAACAAACAGCATGTAGCAACTCAGTTGACTGGGATGTTTCAAGCATTTCAACTATACATGTGTTGCTAAAGTTCCGGAACCGAACCCAAATCCAATTGTGAAGTGCAAAGGGAGCTGGGGAGGAGCTGTGTTCCAGTAGCTGGAGCAGGAGCTGGGAAGCCAGGAACTGGGTCCAGGAACTGGGTCCAGAAACTGGGAGGGACAATAAGAAAGAAAACGCATCCGAACTGCCAAGGATTTCTGTTCCCGGCGCGGTTCGGAGGCGTGTTGGTACACATGAAAACCACCTGCCGTTGTCCGTTGGCACTCCTTGGTTCCTTGGTTCCACCAACAAACGGTGAACCCCGCCGTTGGGAACCACCTGCGAAATCTCAAGTCCAAACAAATCAACACCAAGCGCCGATTCCAAGGTCGGATACGAAGCGCTGCCACTAAAATCAACGTATTAAGTATAATATGTTTGTCTGGCGATATGTTGGTTTGTCTGGCCTGCCCCACCCGAATGCAGAACGCAAGGATAGAAGAACCCGGTGTTGCTTCGCCGTGCTCCACTCCCCAGCGTTGAACAGCACCCAACATTCGCTTCGCCCTGTATGTCGACAAAGTGCACCTTTCGGTTCGACTGCGCCCTGTCTATAGATCGACTGTGCACCACTTCCAGCTCAAACTGTTGAACTTTATACCAATCCCAAACACTCCACGGATGGTATATTTACCTACATTGGGGTGGTGCCAGGGGGGTCAATGTAGGCATATATACATGGAGTGTCTGGGAATTACATGTTGATGACTTGTTGGGAGATTGTTCCATCCACGCAGGTACTGTCTGTATGCGATGATGTCTCAACTCTGGTATGGTCAAGTTACCCGATGTTTCCGGTGAACTTTCGAAATCGGATGATTCTGGTCATCACGGTCATTACACCTGGACGTCTATCCAACCCAGTAGAAAAGCTGCTCACATAGCCTGAAGCAACGGACATCTATGTCATTACTGACCAAAAGTATCCAAAAGTCCTTTTTTCAAGCACCCTGCTCTGAGCTCTTCTTCTCCTGAAATGAAGTACAAGAAGAATACATGTTGAACGAACAGATTCCCGCGAAAACCATCCGCATGGAGTTCCGGGGAACCTGGCGCAATCACGGAAGTCCGAAGGGCGACGGCACCCGATGATGAAACGACGGCATCCCGACAGAACGAAACGACGGCGGCCGTGGGACATCCCTATCCCCTACATTCTCCAAAAGTCCATGGGACTGGAAATTACACGAAATTGCTGGACATATTACTGTTAAAACTTGAAAAAGCTTGAACACATCTCAATCTAAAGACATCTTCCAGTCCCTTTCTCTCGAATTGGGCGGCGCTACTCCTTCCGACCTCCTCATCCGATCTTCTCTTCGGAGACCCAAGGGGCGACCAAGGAGTAGTCGAAGATGTTCCAAGGATCGATGGCATACTCCCAGCCGAGGTGATGCATCCTGGGGCGCCGCTGGTGCTACGCCCAGGCGCCGGGTGCCGAGACGGCAGTCGATCGGGGCCGTGTTTTTTGGGCACCGGCGAAAAGGGGCACCAATCCTGAAGAGATTGAATGGACGCAACACCCAACAAAATGCAGTACAAAATGCATAATATATTGTGAAGAGATGTGAAGAATTGGATTCTATCATGATTCAACTTACAAATGGGTAACTTGCACAAGAAGTGCAGGTGATGTTGGAGGAACATCGCGGTCCATGGCGGCCCATGCCATCAGGTTCCATCTGTTTCTCGCGAACCGGGGTGTTTTTGCACCTTCATGTTCTGAACATGCATGAACAAAGCCATTGGAGAAGCTCATGAAGTGCTGCGGAGTGGTCGGGGTGGTCACGTCTTTTCCTAACGGACTAAGCTAAAGCCAAACGTCTGGGCTCGTCTGGGCCGCAGCACCAGGGTAAGCCTGGTACGGCTGCTTGCATACTGCTAGTGCCAGGTCTATAAAGTCCGCTTGGCTCAGCTTGTGCTGTTTCGCTGTTGATGTTTTAGTTCCTTAAGTTCCCTCAGTGTCTCCGGAAGATCCATACCCGGCCAATAGACCAATATCCACCCAGCTCCATGTTTCTGTGGGACCTGGGAGGCTGGGTCCATACTTTGAGCAAAGGGGTATTAATATACCCAAACACTTCAAAAGGACAGGAATATCAACCTACATTTAACCCCTCAGAACCACCCGGACCCACATCCAAAGTCTAAGTAGATCATCTTCCAGTCCCGTCGTGGGTTCCACCACTACAAACCCGGTCCTGATCATCACTTCGGTGAAGAAGGTCACCGCGAACAAGGTCTCGATGACGAAGAAGGCCAAACGGTCCTCCCAAACCGTTCGTCGAGAGTCGAGACCAGAAGACAACGGCTGGAGGAACCGTACTCAGCGTACGGCGTACGGTGCTGCTCATGGAGAGCTGCGTACGCTGCTGCGTACGCTGCTGCGTTCTGAGATAGAGAAGAACATGCGTTCTGAGATGGACAACCATGGTGAAACAGCCATGTTTAAAGGTTTGTGGGTCTGCATCAGTGCAAGATGAGATGCATCACCTCAAAGGGCTCCGGTGAGGGGGTCCAAATATGGCAAGCACACCGATGCCCGTGGAGGGAGTCCAAATTCTACGGGAATTCCATATCTTCCTGAAATCTGGAGTGTCAGCAGCAAGTCATCACCGGAATGTAGGAACTTTGCATCTCGGGGAATGGTTCAAGTTCAATGTTGTTGCCAAGCATGTGGACCTGATAGTTTTTCATGGTTGTGCGAATGTCAACCAGGTGCTGCAGTGTTATATTTTTTCATCATCAAACGCGTATTGACATTTGGAGGATATGAAGCATCCCGACACAAACACTATTTGAAGTCGATTCTTCTCTGGTGACACACTACCTGAGGAAACCCAAGCACCTGCCAGACTGTTGGCGAGGTTCCTTCTTTCTTCCAGGCACAACGGCACGACCCGTCGGAAGTCTGTGGGAACACGGGTTTCTTGGCGAAGGAAACACTCCTTCATCTCCTATCAGGAACCAGTCCGAGTATCCAAACACGACCGATGTGACTGGCATATTTACCTAGGGGTTGTTTTTCCAAGGGGGGAAAAGGTACTGATTTTCCAGTCACTGTTTCTTTTTGCATCGCCCATATGCGCTGGTATATGCCTTCTGGAATGCTGGTATTTGCTCCTCCATGATCCCACACCTACAGTAACGGTGTTTCACACCCCACGCGCAAGCGCAACACCCCGGTGTCTCCTCGAGCTGCCGTCCCCGGGAGTAGTCGGTCTCGATGCCCACGACGATGGTGTTCACACAGAGCATGACCTGAATGGCGAAGAAATCGTCATCAACACATGGTCAGACGGGACGATTAGCAGGGAAGGTAGGAGCAGGGAAGAGGTAGGAATTCTACATGTTTTTGATCAACACCATTTTGCATATAACAGTCAGTATATGCCAGTATGTAAACAATTGGTTTCATTCAGATAAAATTAACTGATAAAGCTTGTTTGTCAAGAAACTGTTAAAAGCAGTAATTCAACGAACAATTAATCACCCGGGTTGTGATGTACTTTTCAGTTATTGATTCCATACTTCAACTCAGTTGAGTATACTTAGTGCTGCAATTGGACGTTCCAGCAGTCTTTCTATCCTGGTCTGAATCTAAGGGTTCATTTTCGGTAGTATGATTTGCGGGGCCAGAGAATCCATAAAGTGGTGGCAGTTGATTTTTCTCATAAATTAGGCACCTGTTTATTTAATGTTGGAAGGCCAAGTGTCTTGAGATTTGACACCAACGTTCTATAAAACTTGGAAAAGAAGCTCAACATATTGTTGTTGGTTAGTGTTGGTGAACCAAACAATCAAAACTTCAAAACAAATCCCTAATTAGTAAAAACAATGAGATGGTGGGTATCAAGCCACTAATACGGAGTGTGACACTTGGGGATACTTGGGGTAGTGTAACAATTCAATTGGAATGCAGTTGCTGCCTGCTGGCTTTCCTCCATTGTTGCTTTCAATATTGTGCCATGTGGTTTGGGTGTTCCAACTCCATGCAAAGTGCTTCAAACCGTGTAAGATGATATCTCCAGAAATGACCAGCCAAAGTTACTGCTGCACTCAAAGGGCACCTATATATTATGTCAAGGCATGACTGAAGGGATGACTGCCAAAACTGTTGAGTTCGGATTATGATTTGTCCACTTGATATGATTTGCTTGTTTGAAGCAGTGTAAAATTTTGGTGCAGGTGCAATCATTGGTCCAACACTCAGAATTTCTCTAAGTAGTCACAGTAATAGTAAACCTTGAATCATTGGGTCGGTCTGGGTTGGGCTGAGTCGGACATTTCCGGCCGGACTTCATCTTCAACGACGGCCTGCCTGCTTTCAACGACATGGTCTTCAAGGTGACACTGGTGTGTTTGCCGAGTCGTCGTATCAATAATTCGATCGTCCCTAACAAAGCATGGGTTTCATTGTGATCTTGCAATTTTATTGGTTCAGGAAAAGGATTCAAAACAGCCATGTTCTTATTCCAATTCCCTGGGCATGGTTGCAACCACAACTCCACATTCCAACAGTCACAGCTTCACACAAACAATTTCACATGTTATTTTGTTTATAGTTTCCGGGTGAGCCCCGGCCTTTACTTAGTCAAACACTTGATTAATGTCACTTAAATCTATTTTCACAGCCTCACATCTTCATTTTTGGGTCGGACAACTCTCCGCATTGGACAGTGCATGGCCTGAGCCGCGTGCAACGGAGAGAGCATTTTTTCGACCCCGAGGAAAATTTGGGGCGCAGAACTTACAGGCCGCACCGATTACCTATGGAGGTGGTGCCGTACCGATTTCTTTGTTTTCTGTCAATTTTATTTATGCTTTGCAGCACCTCTTACCGTTTCGTGGCTGCTCTGACTGCTTGAAAACTGGACCCCACCTCAGAATAGTAACGAACAAGTTTAAAACAATCCAAACCAAAAGCCTTGTAGCACCATTGGTCTGCGGTTGGTCTGCGCCACTATCCTTTGTGTACATTGCCATTGGTCTGCAATTGGTCTGCGCCACTATCCGTCCTTTGTGTACATTGCCATTTGGTCTGTGCATACTTAGTTGGTGCTTGCCTGCCTTTTTATTGTTTTTTGGTTTGAACGCTGTTCTGCGTTTCTGCCGTTTTGTTGCTGCTTTGACTGCTTGGAATCTGGTGATTTGATTCAAAGCCTTGGGGAGGTTTGAGTTTGAACTTGGAAAGGTTTGAGTTTGAGAAGCCTCTTTCTGGAGTGTATTTCTGGAGCCAGTTGAAAGGCTAATTGGCTGGAGCCAATGCAGACTCTGATGAATGTGTGGCCCACTGCAAGTGATTGGCCACTCCGCCCTGCAACAATGGCTCTCCAAGAACGACCTTGGTGATGCATCAATTTGAACGAACAAGGGAACTACATTGATGGTTGCTGCTGGATCTTGACCCACACACGGACAGGGATCACCAATGCCGCGCAATCAATCAGGGAGATGCGCGGACGGATGGATGGATTTGCTCCACTTGGCAGCTACAGCAAGGCCAAGCAAACTCATGAGGCCGACTGGAGCCAGTCGAGACAGACGTGGAAACCTTTAGAAATTCGCATTTTCCGCCTGTGCTGTATGCACTGCTCAATCTGCATTGACTGCTTCAACGCGTCGCCACATGCCCAAAGTGTGGACGTAAGAACATCCCCTTCGGTGACTGCTTCTACAGCGATGACGTTGACGAAGAAGGCAGTGATGACGGGGCGCAAGGCGCGCCAAAGCCAGAGATGCTCCATACTGCGCGCAGTCGAGCTGACTGGACAACGACACTCAATTGTCTTGCTAAGAACACTGGCTTCACAAACACGTCGCTGGTTGGCAATGCAGGCCCTTCAGCCCAAGGATCTTCTCCACCTTCTTCTTGCACCCTTTCAAGATCCAGCCTGAAGGATTCTTCCTCGGGTTCTCCTTGGCATGGATCGCTTGAGTGATCTCAAAGCAGCGCACTGGACTTGAATTGGGAACGGCGAGAGCTCCTCAAGACGCACTTCATTGTTGACTATTTGTTGACTTCTGGCACAAAGAATTGGAAATGACAATGGGCTCCCCATGAGTTGGCCATTCTTCATGACGAAGTCTTCAGGAACCTTCTCCTCAGGATCCAACCCTGCTGTTGAATAGGAGATTCTATGCGCACCCAATAGTGTCGCGATCTTCCACAAATCATCAGCTGGGTGAATCCACAGATCATCAGCTGGTTGAATCCCCCGGGACAGAAGATATTGTGGGCTTGCAATCAATGCAAACTCCTCCCTCTCAGCCAGATGTCGCCAAGAGTCTTTCTGCAAGGGCATAGCGGCGTAATAACTGCGTGCATCACCTTTAGTGATAATCCGAGCTTTGAATGGCTCCGGAATAACGCATGCAGTGGCATCTAAGGTGGCTTCACCTTGCTCCTCAACCGCCCAACGAGCAATCGTTCTCATGGGCACACGGGGGAGCACCATCCTATCCAGCTCATCGCTGTGGCCGCATTTCTGAAGTATATCAAGGACTTCATATCGGGGGAAGAGCCTCTCGGTAATCCACTCACGGATCGCCTGACTCTTTCCTCCTTCAGAACGGGTGTGGGAATTACAGGCATTCCATCCTGGGCTGCCTTCCCAGGCCTTCATTCTCCTGGGCTTCCACACCTTGATGTCCTTGATCTGCAAATTGCCCTCTTCATCCCGGAACTTCATACGCCTCTTGGATGGGCACTGCCCAAACCATAGCTCCTTGAAGTAGAGGTCAAACTCAGCCCGGTCCGTCTCATCAAATGGCGACAGCTCTTGCTGCAGTTGGCACGCTTCTGCAGTTAACGCCTCCCTTAAGAGTTTCTAAGCAAATCCTTCTCAGAGTAGGTTTGTGAAGGTGTCCAATTATCGCTGACGATGCGTGACGCTGCGTGACTCTGCGTGACGCTGCGTGACGCTGCGTGATGCTGCGTGACGATGCGTGACGCTGCGTGACGATGCGTGACGATATCGCGTGCCGACGCGTGAGGAGAACAGTATATGGATCCGGTGTCCACCCAGAGGATCGATTGCTGCCCTTTGGGGCGCGTTTTGTTGTTTGGCAGCGTCCAGCTTCTTTTGTTGATATTGCTGTTAGAAGGCTTGCGGCTGCGTACCCACGCTGCACAGGATACTGTTACTGTTGTGTTGCACACCATACCGCATTCAGGATACTGTTACTGTTCTGTTGCACACCATACCGCATTCGTGTCCACTGCAGATGGGTGTGAGTGAGAGTGGGAGAGTGAGTGAGTGTGAGTGCGAGCGCGAGTGTGAGTGCGAGTGTGAGTGAGTGTGGGTCAGAGAGAGAGAGTCTGAGTGAGAGTGAGAGTGAGTGTGAATGAGAGTGAAGGTGGGTCAGTGAGTGTGGGTGGGAGTGGGAGTGAGTGTGAGTGAGAGTGAGAGTGGGAGAGTGAGTGAGAGTGAGAGTGGTAACTGAATCCCAGTTAGTCAAGAAAGTCTTGAGGTTGTCGCCCTCCATCCTCACATTGAATAGGTCACTGAGGGAATAGGTAGCACCATGTTTGATGTTTGTGCTAAAGTACTCATGCATCATCAGCAAAACCTGTCTTCCCCGGACCATCAACGGCAAGTGAAAAGCGGCGGGATTTCCGTCCACGCTCTCCCGCCCATCCGTACGTCCGTACGGTGCAGCCATCCTCGCGAGGGCATTCTGGTAAAAGGACATATCCATGGCTGCGAATGACGGGGGAGCAAAACTACGGGCCTACGGCTATACGGTTGATAACCTATGTTTACAGGCTAACAGCCAACACTGCACACCTTTTTCTTGAGCCACAGCAATGCGAGTATCAGAGGTATATCTACAGTGATGTACGTGGGTTACCTAGTAAAAACACTCCCAATGGAGCCTTGTGGCCAACTTGCTCCCAACAACCACCAAAACCTATAGTGATGTGCACTATTATAGAAGATAATACGACATTATTTCAAATAGAAGACGAGCATTTTGGGGGTGGTTCCGGGTCATGTCCAAATAGAAGACAGGTCCAGAAAAAATACAGATTAGACAAGAGCTGTGCGCGGCTTTCCTCGCACAGCAGACGCAGCCCACAGCACCATTCCAAAGCGCCACCAACCTGTCTCCACCACGCACCCAGCCAGCTCACAGCACCAGCACCGGCACCCGGCACCAGCAACCTGTCTCCACCACGCGCACAGCCAGCTCACAGCACCAGCACCGGCACCCGGCACCCAGCACCCAGCACCAGCAACCTGTCTCCACCACGTGCACAGCCAGCAGCTCACAGCACCAGCACCAGCAACCTGTCTCGAAAGCGCGCACGGGCAACTCATGGTATTTGAAGTAGGAACCCCATAGCTTCGCTATCTGGCGACATACAAAAATAACAATCTTCTATTTGCCTGTGACCTGTTTATTTAGAAGATTGCCTACTTTTCAGTAGTGGTCTTCTATAATAGTGAACGTCACCAGTTGGCTGGCCCAACATGGTGTAGACATCCCATAACATGTATCTCCCAAACACTCGACTTATGTACCTACATTGGTTCTGGTTCAAAAGGGATCAATGGAGGCATATCTCCTATAATGAAGTATAAGGGATCAATGGAGGCATATCTCCTACAATGAAGTATGATGGATGGTTTGTTTGTCTCACTTTGGGGTTCCATGGGTGGATTCTCTTTGAGGCTTCAGCCTTGAACCATTGAATATCAAAAAATAAAAAATGGGTGAAAATGGCGGGTAGTGGAGTGTCTAGGTAATGTATACCAGAAAGTGGCTTTGGACACCCAAACGAATCCCAAACACTGGAGGCCTGGAAAGTAGTCGAAAGTTAGAGCTATAGTTTAAAAAGGAACTGGCAAGTTTGTCATCCACTAAGCCAGGCGATCAATTCGATCAATTGACTTTTCTGTGGCTTGCTTCACTCATTGCTGATTCAACGCAACATAAGCCAAGCGAAGCACCAGTTGGAATAAGTCCGCCCGCTCCGAAGGTGCCGAGGCGTTGTGGAGGCTCGCGGCAACAGCAGTCGGAAGAAAACTGCTAGATGAAATCTTAAGCTTTAGCTTGAGAGGGGGTGCTCATTTTTCGACTTGAAATGCTGTGCTTTACAGTGATTTTGGAGGTGGATACCAACTTGGACCAAACGTTGGCGATGCCGGACATGCCGGCCGGGAGAGATTGCATTATTGACATCGTGGGTGTGTTCGTCCGTGTGTCGACCGAGACAAACAGAGTTGACAGACTGAGACAAACGCGCCGAGACAGACAGACTGAGGTGCGCTTGAGGCCGGTTAACATTTCCTCCCGGCTCCGAGAGCAGGTTGCTGCCGAGCCAGTAGGGTGCTAATGACACACTTTTCCCATGTATGTCTGGATGTGTGTCTGCATGTATGTCTGTCTGTATGCATGGATGGATGTCTATGTCTGTATGTGTATGTGTTCCCTTTACTCTGTGCAGGCACATTCGACCGCGAAAGGGGTGTGAATACTCATTTTCCCCGACCGGTGGAGCTGCAAGGATGCCATCACACGCGACCAATGTGGAATACCTTGATAGGGTACGAAGTTGATGGATGTAGGCTACAGGGTACTGTTCTTGTCTTGATGTCAAAATCGCCAAGCAAACATCTACCAAACTCTACCAGTCTGCCAGTTTGCCTCGACTCCTTCAATACGACTTCAGAAAGTATCGAAAGCCGTTGTGAATCGCATTGAAACTGAGCACGCATTTCCGTTATCGGAGCTAACTCCCCTAAGCCATTCGAAAGCCAACTTCCAGTTGTAGCTGCGACTGCCCTCTTCTCCAATCTTCTCCACAGCGACAACACGCCTTTTTCCGAGACCAAGGATCCCCGATCAGAAGGTTGAACCATGCAGCGTTGCCCAAGTGGCGCCGCTTCCTGCGATGAAATTCGACGACGAAACGGGTGAAACCTTCACCCTGTCGCTTTCGCTTCGACCAAGGGGGTGACCTGTCTTAGACAGTCTAAAATCCTTGAGTAAAACACTCCCAAACACTCCATGTACCAGGATCATCCAATGGGTGTCCAATAGACTACCCTACCGTACGTAAACAGGTCTCCAAACAGGGCACCTGTTGGATGTGCTAGGTAATATATAGGTGATTAAAGGAAATATGCCTTCATGGACCCCTGAAGTCACCTGATCAGTACATCTGCCAGTCCCATGGAATGTGTGGGACTGGCTCTTCATTCCGTTCAGTCATTGCGAGCCCGAGGTCACTCGTCACTCAACATGCCAAAACGGCCCAGAGGTTGGACGGTTGTGGACGGAGCATCCAGTGCTCAGCTCCCTACTTAGGACAGAAAGTACCTGAAATGCTACCTGCTACATGTTTTTCAGCGAAGAAAATGGCGAATGCAACACCCGCAGAACTCCACAAACAGCAGAACATCCGTTCAGCTCCATGCAGAACCACCGGTCACTGTCACCCAAACACGGTCGAGTCACTTCACCCGTCACGGAGTCCGTGGGATGACTCCATGAACTGGTCGACGGTAACGTCGACCGGTCGACTCGTCGTACGAGATCCGTCAGACTGGATATTGATCGAGATCCCCTTCCCAGACTGGCATCCACCACCTTCGAAAAGAAGGTTACTTAGTACTTGGACCCTCCAGACCTACATAACATTGTCGAACACATCACCTTCTCAAAGGGTATGTTGATCTGAAAGTACGTAGGACTTCATGTATAATTACATGAACGTCAATTCTTTTCGGATTGTCGGTCCATCTCCTCTGAAAACCATTCTTTGGGGGATCTGATCTGGGTGGGAGATGCGATATCGACATGGCCATGAGAAGGACAGGTCACAGCATTCAAATCTCAGCGGCAATATTGTTTTTTTCGTGGAGTGGCCCCAAACAGAACAAGAAGAAACCATGAAGTTCCAATGTATGAATATAAGTACATTTACACAGCAAATATCTGCAATCTTCATATCATATATAATATCACATCAACCCTCAATAGGATTCCAAGTCTTTTCCTTTTGGAAGTGGGTTCTGGTGACACAGCATAAATCAGCATAACACGCTAGGGGAATACATACTGAACAAGCACCTCGCATGTGGTGCAATTGGTGATCTTTCCTGGAAGCGTGTCCATTTGACAAGCACTCTTTCCATATCTTTCCATGCTTTCTGACCTTGATGTCACTCTTAATTGAAATGGATTAAGGCTGGTTGAGCAATCTATATAGTGTCTTTGAAGTCCCGGAATGTCCACACAGCAAATAGAGGGTGCACAGGTCGTGTTCTCGCTGCCAAGGGGTGTTCATTGAACCCTCTGCGGATTAATAGCATCCAACAAGGTCACGTCCAGTGAGTCCTCCATCCTTCGGTCTTGAGCCCTCATTGACCCTCCAACACACCGGTCCACCACCCCTGGTCACCCAAAAAGCGCACACCGGTCTGCACCGAGTCGAGGTGCTTCGAAGCAACCGAAAAAAGGTCTCCCAGAGGGGCGAACTCCCGTGGTTCGCCACGTTGCTCGGCGTGCCTCCCACCGTCCGACCGCGCAGAGCGGCGCCTCTGGCGATCGGCCTGCGTCTCGGCGTGGAGCTGCTGGAAGGCCGGCGGGAGCAACGGGGACTGGAAGACCTGCCGCACTGCCGCACGAAGGTGCTGGGTCCGGGATTTGGGGTGGGGTGCTGGGGAAGACACGGTTTCAGGGAGGGGCCTGGAAAAGAAGGTGGAGTTGATGTTGAGTGTTCAAGATCTGGCTTAGATATCGCTGTGAATTTATCTATATTCAATGAAGACTACAAAACATCCCCACGGTCCTGAAGCCACGACTAAGTTCATCCTCCGTTGGTGGGATAATGCTTCCTTTTACAGCTTCTCCTGCTGTCACTATGCAACTGGACATCTTTATAAAGGTTCACTGTTGATGAAGAAACCTCCCCATCTGAGGATGGTCAAGCATCTCCATATCAGGTTGGTGCTTCTGAGACACAGGACCCACCCCCGCCCAACCAGCTCCTCACCCTCGTGGCCATCGACTCGTCCAACGTTTGGCCAAGTTGGGCCAATGGGTGTCCAATGGACTGCCCTACATTACTCAGTGATGACCATTGGACACCCATTGGATGGTCCAGGTATGTTAGTGATGTGTCACTTTCTTTCTCTTTAAGCGATGCCACCAGGAAGTCAGCGCACGAACTCCCCTAGTCGTCGTTTGGGAGTTCCTTCTATTAACTTTGGTCAAATTCCTTTAAACAAAACGTTCTCACGTATATAGAAATCATTTCTTCGAGCAATTGTGAGAACCATTGACACCAAAAACATCCTACTAACTTAAGAGCAATACATTTTATTCGATTCAAGTGGAACGTCCACTCTTCTGGTGGTGACTATTTCGCAGGTGGTTCTGATGTTCATCCTGCACCTTTCTTATTGTTAAGGTTCTCCAAACACCAGAAACACCAGTCGTCTTTGGCCAACATCATGGTACCAACCGACCCAGCTGACCATCGTGGCTTGGAAGACCCAACACCCTCTTCATTCACAGCCTCATTCACCGGGGCATGCAGAACCTTCGGTGGAGCTCGGGCACATCACACCCGACACTTCCTTGGTTCTCAGCCGACACTCGGGCCCACGATCTTCCACCAGTCCGACATAGTCCCACCGATCGTCCGATGTCAAGGAATGTAAACCGTTCCAATCCTTTCGGGCCATGGGTGGAACCACATGCTGACGGTGGCCCCATCCTGGCAAACAAGTTTTCTTTCCATTCTAGGACCAGGGCTTTTGGGCAAGAAATCATTGCACAAACAAGCATTATCACTCGGACCTCGTCTCAAATCAGAAAATTCATGCCTTCCCACACAGGTCAGACGGTCAAAGCCAAGGTCCCTTTGAAGGTCTCCCCTTCTCACTTTTGGGGAACCCTTGCAGTCCCAGCAGTTTGGCCGCACCTTCTTCACCTTGGCGACCTGCTCAGCCACGTTCTCTGCCGTGGCCCCCCGCTTCAGCATCCTCGGCCACGTGGCCAGGTTCTGCGGTTTTTCACGACGACATGGACCGGTGGAAGGGGCCGGACCCCTTCCATTTCTCTGAGGACAAAGACACGGTAAACATCGCACGGTTTCCACGTCTTATCCACTTGGTTTGTGGTTCAGTGGGGTGTCACCACTCTTCCGACATCGTCGGCGAAGGCCTTTGCGCCCGCGTTGGTCCCGGGCCACCGAGCCCGTTCGCCGAACGAACCCGTTCTCCGCCCAGCGGCGCCACGGTCTTCCGCATGACGATGGCCGGTCAGCGCCGACGCGCCCCGCGTGGTCCGGGGGGTGGAAGGCCTCCGGAGCCTTCGGGTGGTGGCCATGGCGAGAGAGCGGGGTTGGGGGATGGGGATCTAATGGATCAAGAGAGCGAGTGTCACCGCAGGTCGGGCCCTAAACGTACCAACCAAATGGCTTCTGAAGGGACCAAAAATCCTTGGAAGCCTATCATGTAGTTATGGCACAAACTGCACTCTGCCAAGAAAAACATGGACCCCCCAACGGGCAAAAAAAAGGGATTGAAAGGCTTCGGCGTCCGAGGACCTAGGGCTTTGCGACATCAAGTCTTATTGCCCTCTAAGGGGGGAGTCTTCGGTCCAGTTTCTTCTGAAAGGCTGCGGTTTTTGTTGGACAAGGAGGTTTGACTTCAGCTCTGAAAACAAGCATTGAACACTCTGGAGGCAACGAGGAGGTGTTTCTACAATGTTTCGAACTTCATGGTGATTCATCCATCTCTGCATTGGAGAACCCCTTTCAGAACAGCTTACAATTATATAAGATTATATAAGATTATATATAATCACTATAAGTATAAGTATATAAGTATATATCATATATCTTGCCAAACAAATGGTCCCCAAAGAAGAAAAGTCTTGATATCAAAACAAAAATGATGCAGTGAACAACTTCTAACATTGCACACATGCAAATTGCCATGCACATTTCCACATCAGCATCTTCCTCCCAAAGGACCAATGAACCATCATCACCTGAAGCTAGGCCACGTATGGCCACGTTCTTCAGACTTAGTGCACTACCTCCTTGGGGTGTGGGACAAACAAGTCTTTGATATACAATCTCAAAGACTCCATGTATGACAAGTATGGCATGTTTACCTACATAGGGATTGTTTCAAAGGGTCATTGCAGACATCTCGTCATATATTCCAGACATGGAGTGTGTGGGAATTGGTTGCTCTTGATTGCTCCCCGCATGCTATGTGGGGATGCCTGGTGCTGTAGGGGAGCCAGCTAGTGTCGCCAAGCAAGAAGTACAGCCTGTGAAGGCAACTTTACAAATGAGGTCATGAGCTAAATGTTCGGCAGAACAGCACACCCAGTGCACGCAAAGGGTTCAATAGCCACGTGAATCTCCTGTTGCGCATTTCTGCTGCAAAGATCTCCACCTGTATTGACCCGCATTGATCATTGAGCCCAAACTGATCCAAACTCTTTCAGAGTACCAGAGTATTACCAGCGATATAATAGACACTAGTAGACGAAAGCCGATGAATTACGGGGTTGCGGCTGTGGAACGTCCCTTCCAAACTCCATTTAACATTCCGCCGAAGTGACCCTCCTCTACATACCAAGGGTCTTGGAAGTCCGTTGTAAGAGTATACTGATGCACCACCCGCGTCACTTTCAAGCCAAAAGAACCCCGTTTTCTCGCCCTTCCTCCGCTTTCTGCGCCAAGGAGCGCGCTCAGCCGCCCCGCAAAACCATTCTGCTTGCAAATGCTGCGGCAAAAAATCAGGGCCGGCAGCATGTGTTGAATTGTTGCTGGACTCTTGACTGACTTGGTGGTTTTTGGTGGACGGATGGTCGATGCAAAAGAGGAACCAAATGACAGGAACAAAGTCCAACCTCTTCCGTTGTTCCGTGTCTGATAATGCTCATTAAGGGACGTTAGGGACCAACATGTCCCGTGGCAAATGAGGAGCGTCGTTGGACGGTTCACTCCTCTTCGAGTTCCAAGGGGGGGTCTATGAGTTTCTGCCATTTGATACTTGTCTAAAACAACACACGTTTGGCCCACCACACTGATGGCACATCGAGTGCTGGAAACATAGAAACACTAAGGCAATATTGAATGAAGTATTAAACGTATGTGTTTTCCCACAACGGCACGGAAATCCCAACTATGTCAACCAACCTTCAAGTACCAGCACCATACATCTCCATTTTTCACTCACTCACACCTGGTCTCCATGAAGCTCCAGGGACCAGCAGTTCAATAGAAAAACCTCCCAGGTTGGAATTTGTGCAAGAAGAAACATCAACCCAAACCCATTAAGGCCAGGGGGGGTCTCTTCTCCGACCCACGCGGCGCGTCGCCCCGCGTTAAGGATGGAGCAAGTGGACCGTGGTCCGCAAGGGGACCTTGCAGCTTTTGGGGGTTCAATATGGGAAGAGCACTTCAACATCCTTTTGCGGTATATCCTATTGCTGGTCCGCAATGGGAAGATAAATCAATTAGGAATATACCAGCAGTCACGTTCGACCGGGTGCTATCCATGGAGGTATAGTCGGGGTGCCCCTGTCATCTCCATGGCCACTGGATGGCACTAAACACCACGCCGACAAGTGACTCCTGGTAGACCCCCCAAATATAGATAGAAGATGATAGAACTTCGTAAACATGTACTGTATTTTCAAATGGTTTCCATATGTTTCCATCTATTTGGGGGACCACCGTATGGATTCAATACGCATGAAATCATTTGGAACCACCTTTTTGATTCAACATGAATCAATCCGGAGATGTGGATTGACACGTTGAATCATGTTGAATCCGAAAAAAGGCCCGGCCCTTCGTTCACCCTTCGAGTGCCGAGGGGAGGGCGTTTTTCCCGGGCCCAGCCATGTAATTAGTCGATTTGGGGGAGAAGATTGGAACCTCTTATGCTCCGTTAGAAGTTTTTGCTTCACCTTGGCCTTGGTGCTTTCCAAAGAACCCAGTCTCCATCGAAACCATCCGTCATCGACACCAACATCGACCGGTTCTCAATTCCATCACGTAATTACTACGTACTCCTACGTATTCTCCAGTCTTCCAGAGTGTCTTCCACAACATCATGAAGACTGGAGTATCAAAACAAACACGTGTGACTCCAGTCTTCATGGGGATCACACGTCCGTGTCACACAAAAAATTGCCACACGTGTCACACATCGCTCCAACTCCGTCGCTCCGGTGCCGGTGCTCCGGACGCACTTGCGCGCTGTAGGCACACCGTACTTCTGGAGGTTTCTCCTTCCGTCGCTGCTGCTGGGGGTTTAGCGAAGCAAAAAAGGGTGCCGATGTCAATAGATAGGTTGCTGGTTGCTGCACTTGTCTTCCGACAAACTCATTGGCAAAACGAATCCTCTTGTTTCTTAGGTGGGGAGTTTCTTTGTAGGGAACGCTGGAGATATCACACTCTTGTCGAATATGGCTTTCCTGTTCACCTAGCATCACTACAAGAAAAAACAATGATGCTCATGTTCTTCCCCTATCACAAGTTGCAAAAGCTGGAGCCAACTTTTGCGCAACAAGACCTTGTTTCCAAGCAAAAACATCAGACCAACAATGAGGTGATCTTTTTCGTCCGACGTGTTCAACGTCTTCCTCCAAACTGTACTTCTCAGCGGCCCGCAAATGCGCTTGCATCTCCAGGCCTGGGCTGAAGGTGACGAACAGCAACGTCGCGACAAAAAGAAACGCGAGACATGGGTATAGACTCTGCAGCCATGGCTTGCGAATGCTTTCTCCACTATGGTGTACGACAACAGTAGTGCAATAGCTTAATCATGTTTAATCTGATGTCACACATGTACACAGTATGCACAAAATTAGGAGTTCTAGCTCGGTCAGCTAAACCGAATGCAGCTCCGCTCTCTTCAACTTCTTCAAGGAACAGCTGCATCCGCTACTAGCGCTGCTTCTGTTCGGCGTTCGGGTCTGAACTTGTAATCGACCACTGCACAAATTAAGAGGGCAACATATTCAGCGAAAAGCCCTATTTGCCTGGACTGCGACCACTATTTGGGCTCACAGAAATGGATGATGTTTGCTAAACAGGGATCACAATGGCCAGGAGTGGCACAAGCATGTAAGCAGTGACTGCTTGGCTTGATTTTCTGCCGAAAACAGCAAAGAACACCAGGAACTCGAGGAACTTGTTTTTGAGTCACTCCAGGAGCCACAGAATTACCGAGTTGGGAGGGCCTGTCTTGGGAGGGAATTTGGTCCCTGCTCTTCGCTTCGTTCGCTTCGTATTTCTGCCGCAGTTTCGGACCGCTGATGATCGTTCAACACCACGTTCTCCGGTTTTGTATCTCCAGGCATATGAACAGAACAACAGTCTACATGAACAGTCTACATGAACAGGCATATGAACAGGCATATGAACCGTTCTCTTCATAGACTTCTTTTTATGTTCAACAGTCTACATGAACAGAACCGATCTTTCTTTTGCATCCCCATCGTTGGTGCGCCTTCCCGTTTAGCCCGCGCGGGTTCAGTCTGCAAGGCGAATAAGTGAAAACACGTGTCAATTGATTCCAAATGTTCTTCAGATGACACGCCGGGCCTTGGATAGGCTACAGTATCACATGCGTCGGGTTGTGAAGGTGGGTTTGTTGCACCCGTGCGGCCATGTTGTTGGCCAATGCGGCATCGGACGGCGAATAGAAGGGTATGTTTTTTCACTACTGGACTTCTGCATGTCATGTCTGAATCTCTCGTGTTCGGATTTCCAAACATCCTTCAACGATCTTCAGCCCCATTTTCGAACAACCAATGCCCCATTTTCGTGTGTCGCTCGTTGGTCAAAGTGTCGATTTTCTTTGTTGATCTTGTTGCAACCGCCCGGTTTTATGCCCAGTTCGTCCACATCTTCTGCATCCTCCGTCTTGATCCCATCTGGGGATCCGATGCGGTGCCGTTGTTGTGCCTGGGCCGGGACAGTCACAAGAAACACTCTGTCTGGCAATAAACAAGACACTTAAAGCCGTTCAATCCCAGCATGTACCAAACACGATACACCTATAGATAGCGAGTACAGTAGAGCAGCTTTGCTAGGGGGCCAAGAAGTCCGCAAGGCAGGTGGGCTCGGAGAATACACCCATGTGGACCCCGCCCAGCCCCAAGAAGGCCGGTGAATCTTCCAAGAGTTCGGGACACGTCCCAAGCTACCAAAGGATATAGGTTTCAGATGTTTCAACCTTTTTGAGGTCTACAAAAAACTCTCCGCAAACCGGGGATGATCCCAAAGAGCCTCTGTGAGAACAAATCAATCCTGCCATGACACAGGTGAACTGGGGTTCTGCATCGTCACCGCACATGGCAAGGGAGCAGTAGGAGACCGAGGAGCTGAGGGACCCTCACGTTCAGATCAACAACTTGACATGAGGTCAGATGAACATGGGGATGGGTCGTTCAACTTGAAGCCCCTGGTCCCACATGTAGCACCTTCTAGGTAGATCAACCAGTCGAAGAAACCTGGTGCCACCCATTTTTTACTGAGGTCTCCTGGTGCTGGTCATGTTCCCAATGTTCAGACCTGGGAACCCCCGGCGTAGAGCGACTCGCCCATGCTGCCGCGACATGTGTGCAGGTAGTCCAGCCTGAGAAGAGTTGATTGGAACTGGAACTGGATGAATTGATGGACTTTTGGCTGGCAAAAGGTGCCACTGAGAAACACCTTGTAGGCGAAAATGAAATTTAATGGACCAAGTGATCCACTGCATGAATTTAACGACCGATGTTGGTCGAACTCCGCTCTTTCCCATCGACCGAAACGACTGGCGCACGACCGAAACATATCACGCATCCATTGGACCGGAAGCAACCTTTGTATGGACCCAACGATGAACATGTAACGTGTTTCATGCCAAATGTTGTCTTCTCTTAAACCCCCTTCCAAAACACCCTTCCAAACAGCGCAAACGTCTATCTGCTGCCCCAAACAAGTTTCCAAGGGTTAGTCGACATGCACCCTGGATCCTACTGTATATACAAAAATGTATTTACATAATATCCGCTGACCAGTCGATGGCGGGGAAGCGCGATGGTAGCCAGAAACAAGGCCCGGGAATGACTCTTTAGAGACAGACTCGATGGTTTCAACAAAAAAGGTTTCGAGAAGGATTTTACTGGCATCAGAAAACAACGTTAATTGGCAACTGACCGATCAGCTTAAAGCTGTGGCGAAAGAGATTCGGGAATGGCTCTGCGGCTCTAAAGACAGACTCTATGGTTCTAGAGAATGGTGTGTAGAGAGTGGCTTTAGAGAAACATTTTTACAGCCGTCAGAAAGCAACGTTTGGAACCAGCTTCGAGGACAATGTTTTCACAAATTTTGGTGTGGAATTAGATTGTGTAAAGCTGTGGCGAAGGAGATTTGCGGGAGTTGGGATCCTTGGGAATGGCTCTGTGGCTCTAGAGGCCCTCTATGGCTCTACAGAATGGCTTCTATGCCTCTAGAGAATGGCTGTAGAGAGAGATTTTTACTGGCGTCAGAAAGCAACGTTTGGCACTGACCGCTCCGCTTCGAGGACGATTTTCGTGTTTTCGGCGTGGAAATAGATTATAAAGCTGTGGCAAAGGAGACTGCCGGGAGCCTTGGGAATGGCTCTATAACTCCGAAGACAGACTCTACTTGTTTTTTCTTAGTGGGGGCCACAGCAAGATGTTTCAAAAAACATGAAGTTGTTTTTTTCAACTGAGTGAAGATGGATGTTGGTGGCTTTCTGAGATGTATGAACTTGCTCATGCTGTTCGAAAGGAATTTCTAAATGGCGTTCCAAAGATGCACAGTTTGAGACCAAGTAAAATGCACCAGCGACGCGATTGTCCTGCACCCATTTTCGGTCCCAAAGATCTGATCTCACGAGACTTGGCAAGCCTCTGAACCTAGGGTAGTGAAGGGTAAAAGGGTAAACGCATTGAGTCTGTGACCCTGGCGCGGTTGCCAGTAGCCCAGCTGGGATAGTTCACTGGGCCAAATGCCGAGATGGCATCTGCTCAATCAGGCTCTTATTTGTCTTTTACAAACTTATCTGCTCACAGATCATCATCACCATCTATCCATCAATCCATCCAAACCATCCATCCACCCATCCATCCATCCACCCAAACATCCATCCACCCATCATCCATCCATATACCCACATCTATCACATCACAATCAACCACATCCATGCAACCACATCTACCCAATCGCATCCAGCCAGTCACATCCAACCAACGACAAAACAAGAGCGCTGGCGCCGAGATGGCACCAGCAGTCACTGACGCTGTGATAGCTTCACTGAACCAGATGCTCAGATGTCATTTGCTCTCCACGTTACTCAAGGCAACGCATAAGTCTGAACATGTTGAACCTCATTGCATCCATCTGTCCATCCCCAGCGTGGAATGGCAAGCTTGGTCTTCGTCTTGGAAGGTCCCAGCCTCAGAATGAAGCTTCATGTGTATTGCGATGACACTGAAGCAGTGAAGCAGGGGCGTCACTCATGAATGGCAAAAGTTTCTAAGACGCCCAAACGCTTCAGGTTTGGCCCCAACTCAGTCAATGGGTCGGCGCCGGGATGGCACCGTCCACGGCGCCGTGATGGCGCCAGCCTATTTGTTTGGAAGGTTTAGTCGAACTTGTGAGCCTGTTCTGACATGAGTGGAAATCTGACTGAGGACATGGCTCATCACTTCCATCAGCATTGTCTCCATCAGGATCCTTGGCAAAATTGAGGGCATGTGGCATGGGCCAAGCGAAAGAAACGATAATCGTGCGCCATCACGGCGCCTCAATTATGAATCGTGGTGCCATCACGGCGCCCGAATATTGAGTTTAGTTTTTGTTTTGTCTCTCGCAGGGCTCAGATCTTTGGCCTTCGCGCGGCGACAGTGCCACACTGCCGTAGGACCTAGGATCTGTGGGCGGATAGGCATGATACTGATCCATCCACTGAAGCATGTTTGCTTGAACATGTCTGGTGGGACTCTGTATACTAGGTGTTTGGTTGAGTGGGAAGATTGCTGAACCCAAGCCCGCCCAGATCCTACGGCAGCCTGCGCGGACAAGTGGGTGACACGGTGACCATGCTAGTCGCTGCCCTTCTTCTTCTTCCTTGGCGGTGGGGTATATATCCTCCTTGTCCTTCTTCTTCTTCTCCTTCTTCTTTTTGTTGTCAGCCTTGCGTGGCATCACTAGAACGGGCAAGTCGTCCAGCTTCCCAGGCTGCTCTGATGGCTTCGATGGCTCTGATGGCGCCTTGCCTTGAAGCTCCTGGCAAGAAGAAACCAATCAGCGCTATCTCGGCGCTGATATAGTACAGGGGTAGTGAAAGTTTGCCTGCAAAAGTTTGAATCCCTCGGCCTAGCTCTTTGCGATGATTCTTCAGCCAGTCCCGCTGCACGTGACGTCATCAAGTTCCAGGTGCCCAAACTTGACTGGGCGTCAGAGTTGCCCGGCTATCAACTCCTGCCCATGCTGGTTGCGAAGAACCCCCTGCTGTAGTATAACGCCGCCATCCCCGTGCCAAAAAGGCCGGAGCTGAATTTTAATTGCCCGCCTTCAAATCCTGCTGATACTTCTTTTGAAGCGGGTCCGCCTGCACCTGTCAGGTTTCGCTAAAAGCGGCGCCATCCCGCCGCCAAAAGTTTGACATTAGAAGGTCTGAGTTGCCTAGCCTCCATCTCTTGATCATGCTTCTTTTGAAGCGCCTGTCAGCTTCAACTGTAGCGGTGCCATGATGGCGCCAAAGATAAACTTGAAGGTCTGAGTTGTCCGGCCTCCAAGTCCTCACGGCGCTTCTTGCAAAGCTGATTCTGGTGCGCCTGTCTGCTTCAACCGTAGCGGCGCCATCCCGGTGCCAAAGGTTGATTGGGTTTCACATTTAGAAGTTCTGAGCTGCCCGGCCTCCAGGGTTTGCACCAAGCGCTGCTGATGCTCCTTGCCTCTCAGGCTCCGTTATGGAGGCGAGACCAGCTTTACAAGAATCATCAAGGAGGTGAAGGAAGAGATTTTTTTGTTTTGCGGGCACACTCTCGCTACCCCTGTACTATTACTGATTTCTTCCACTTTCACTACCCCTATAACAGCGCAGAGATGGCACTGATTTCTTGCTGCCAGGAGATTCAGGGCAAGACGCCGTCAAAGCCATCGACGCCATCAAAGATGAATGATTTGCTGGTGATTCCACCCAAGCCTAAGAAGAAGAAGAAGAAGACGAAGAAGAAGAAGAAGAAGAAGAAGAAGAAGAAGGAACCGCCAAAGCAGAAAAAGGCCAAGCGCGGCGATAGCGACTAGTCAGCGTGTCACCCACGTGTCCGCACGGATCTGGGTGGGCGGCTTTGTTTGGTTCAGCGATCTGCCCAATCTCAACAAGACCCTAGAATTCAGAATCCCCATCATCAGAAATTGTCTAACAAAAACGCTTCAGTGGATGGATCTGTATCACGCCTATCCGCCCACAGATCCTACGGCAGTGTGGCACTGTCACCGCGCGAAGGAAAAAAATCTGTGTCCAGCGAGAGATAAAACAAAACAAATTTAACACGCGGGCGCCGAGGTGGCACAACGATTCAAAATTGAGGCTGCGTGATGGCACAACTTTAATCGTTTCTTTCGCTTGGCCCATGCTCTCGGTTTTGCCAAGGAGCCTGGTGGACACGCTGCTGATGGAAGTGATGAGACATGTCCTCAATCAGATTTCCACTCATAGTAGCTATTTCGCGACTAGGTGATAGATGCCGAGCCCTTGACGAACTTGATTCTATTTCCGTCTCTCGAAAAAGCACCGCCTTTAAAAATTGGTCATTCAGCTCGTCCCATCAAGGCGCCGTCGACAGTGCCATCCCGGCGCCGACCCATTGACTGAGGTTGAGACCAAGCCTGAAACGCTGGGGCGCCCCAGTACTTCAGTGTCATCTCAATATAATGCACACTAAGCTTAAAATATATGAGGCTGGGACGTTCCAAGACGGAGACCAAGCTCGCCATTCCACGCTTGGGGTTGGTCTTGGAATGGGAAAGGATGGGTGTGAAACTTGACGATGGACAGATGGATGCAATGAGTCATGGATGCAGTGATTCAACATGTTCGGACATATGCGTTGCCTTGAATCCTTGAGTAACGTGGAGAGCAAATGCCATCGGGTATCTGGCTCAGTCAAGCTATCACAGCGTCACTGGACTACTGGTGCCATCTCGGCGCCAGCACTCTTGTTTCGTCGTTGATTGGTCAGATGTATTTTTGTGACGCATGGGTTGGATGTGATTGGGTGGATGTGTTAAATTGTGATTGGATAGATGTGGGCATATGGATGGCTGGCTGGACGGGTGGATGGATGCATGGTTGGATAAATGGCTGGCTGCCTGGCTGGATGGTCTATTGGATGGATGGTTTGATGGATGGACCGATGGATGGGTGGTGATGAGGATGATCTGGGAGCAGATAAGTATGTCACAAAAATGACAGCCTGATTGAGCAAATGCCATCTCGACATCTGGCCCAGTGAGCTATCCCAGCGCCAGACTCACAGACTCAATGTTCTTACGCGTTGGCCCCTTCACTACCCTAGGTTGAGAGAGAGTCAAATGCAAAAAAACAATCTTGCCAAGTGTCCTGGGATCTTTAGTACGGAAAATGGCTGCAGCAGGACCATCAGCAAATGCAATCTCGGCATCGCTGGTGTACTTTATTGCTTTCGAATTGTGCATCTTTTTTAAACGCCAATTGGAAATTCCTTTCAAAAAGCATGAGTAAATTCATACTGACATCTCAGAAAGCCATCAACATCCATCTTCACTCAATTGAAACCAAGTTCATTTATTTTTGAAAAGCCATCAGCGTCCATCTTCACTCGATTGAAAACAACTTCATACAGTTTTTGCTGTGACCCCAAACTTTACAGCATCAGACAGCAACATTTTGCAACTGACCGATCAGCTTTGAGGACCACTCTTTTTGCGCAATTTTCAATCCAGAATTAGCTTAGCTGTGGTGAAGGAGACATGTGGCCATCCACCGGGGCCCAACGTCTTTCCCACGTTCCATCCCCCAGTCGGAGGTGCCAGGAAGTCGACCTGAGACCTCCAACACACTTCGCTCGCACCTGCCACACCAAGTCCGAATATGCTCATGGCACCACAACGGGAGTGCAGTCGAGACAAGCACCCGCGCCAGCCGCAGAGTTTCTGCTAGCCCGCGCAGTCGAAATGCACTCCGAACATCTTGAGAGGCATGAATGTAGCGTAAACCGAAGCAAACTAGCTGTCGACGGCCGTGAGCACCTCGATCAAACCACCAGCACAATATCGATGCCCCTGGGTGAATTCCATCCCTCCCAACCACACAACCATAGAGGATTTTCAAACAACTCCCCATGTGGCTATGACTCGGGAGCTTGAGACTGCTCAGGCTGAAACCGTTCCAGCAAGTGGCTCCGCATCTGATCTTGACCCGCCTCAACGAAGCCGGGGATCGGGTATGTGCTGTGCTTGAGGCTAAGGCATTGGGGTTGGAAGGCATTTGTGGAGGCACTGCTTGCGGAGTGCACCAATACCCAATGCTTGGAGGCATCGGTGACGGCAACCCAACGCAACCTCATGAGCTCATGTCTTGGTGAAAGCCAGATGAAAGTAGATGACTTTAGCAGCAACCTCTTAATGCGAAGGACCCTACTGAGTAGGCAAAGGGTATAAACACTCTTGGTGTGCGTCTTGGGCAGCATTCTTGACGGTTCGGAACTAATGCCCCGAGAGCCGTCTTCGGAAGAATGTCATTTTGGAACATACACCGTGTCAAAGATTTCATGATCGAACATGATCGAACAAAGAAATTGCATGTCAACTAAATATAATATATATATATACAAATAATATATATATGTTCCACACGTCCGCTCGGCCAGAGTACCCTCGCACCTTTTTTCGGCAAGAGCCTTGTGTAAGGCACGAGGTTTTCGAAAAGGAAGTGGCTCTGACTTCAGTTTCTAGTCAGGCCCTTCTCAACCCTCCACGCAGTGGTTGAAAGGTGGTAGGAGGGGAGGTATGGTGGTGAGAAGATCTTGAGCGATCAGGTTGCGGCCAAATCGCTTCCGGCTTTACATTAAAGTGCAGGCACTAGACATGTTCCACACGTCCGCTCGGCCAGAGTACCCTCGCACCTTTTTTCGGCAAGAGCCTTGTGTAAGGCACGAGGTTTTCGAAAAGGAAGTGGCTCTGACTTCAGTTTCTAGTCAGGCCCTTCTCAACCCAATCCACTTACACAAGTGAACTCCTCAACTGCTGGGAGATCTGAGCACAAAGCAAACGTGGATAGGGCTGTGCAACATGCGTTTTCCAACGTCCAGTTTCGTCACGACCTGGCAGCGTCACATGGCGTTTGCCGGAGTGTTGGCAGCGACCTTCCGACGGTTGGCAGGTCAGGGCACATGCTTGAAGCGAAGGAAAACCCCATTCCAGCAGTCCAGTTGCCTTTCTCCAAGGCGTTCCAAAACAACAGAAATGTGTTTCATGAAGTCGTGCACCAAAGTTTTGTAATGCCAATGCTTGCGGTGTGAGCCAAATCCTAGAGGTATAGGGATTCTCCAAAACCCAGGGAATAGACAAATGACAAGCCAGGTCAATGTAAAATTTTGATGTGCGCAACAACTCATTGCCCAAGCGAACTTTTGTACGATCATGTTGAGGTAAGTTGGCAAAACCCCAAAGATTGTCACCGTCATCTCTAAGTGGCGGAGGGCCACCGTCCAGCCTGCGGGCGCGCGACCATGAGGTGCATGGCGTGCCCAGCCAGATCAAAGCAATGTGCTTGCGATGCTGTTTGATGAAACGGGTCAAGTCTTGTCGGACTCGTGCATCCAGAAGGTCACAACCTGCCCCATAGCCAATGTCATAGGCGATGGCTGTGAACCCTTGAGCTGCCATGGCCTCTGACAGGCGTGCACATCCAGAGAACAGTTCAACAAACAGCATACCATTATCTATGGCTGAGGATGGGTGAAAAATCTTGGGCCCAGCTTTCTCATCTGCTCTTCCAACTGCAAAACAAGCTTTTGTGTCGCCAGTGGCAGGCGATGATATTCCTGATTCAAGCGACCATGCTGCTCGTAGCGTCGGAGACTTGCATCTGCGGCCCATCGGCCTCTGGCTTTGATCTCCATGAGGGACCTGAGCCGGTGGCAGCGGTCGAACGAAGGGCCGGAGTGGCGTAGTTGGTGAAGTACGGCATGGTTGTGCTCCAGTCCTACGTCGACCAATGCTTGCTTCCAAGCACTGACCATCTCTGTGTAACCCAGGTCGAAGAGGAAGGGACCCGGAGACTGCAGCTTTTCGAGAGCAAGCCCCAGCCATTTCACCTGCACAGCATCTAGTTGGATCGATTCCTCTGAAATTCCAACTTTTGAGGCCTCGTGTCGTTCGGCAGGATGAAGGTGCAATGTATCCCTAAGGATCCGAGAATCTACTTTTCATGGCTGCCAGCCACTTTCCAAGGTTCTGGCCCCCTAGAAGCCAATGCTGGAAGATAAGATTTGTGGCTGGCAGCTAAGATTCATGGCTGGCAGCCACAAATCTTATCTTCTCAAAACTGGCTGGCAGCCATGAAAAGTAGATTCTACTTCTAAATGTGGCTTCTGCCAAAACTCATGCTACCACCTCCAAGAAGCGCTTCTGGGAAGTCACTTTTTGTGGCTTCCCAGAAGCGCTTCTTGGAAACATGCTATTTGATATGTTGCAGCTGTTTGGCTTTAAACAAGCTAGGTATAGATGTCAGGAGAAGCAATGCTGCCCATCCCCCAGCCTGCAATAAAGGCAGATATCAGCAAGTTGGTGGCCTTTGCAAAAGGCTTCCCTGACTCTTGCAATGCAAACCTGTGGTCAGCTGACCCTGAAAAAAGCCGGCACAAGGCATGCATTGTTTTTGGATGTGTGGTTCAAGCATGGGGCTCTGCGCAAGCCTGTGGAAAGGCAAGCAATGAAAGAAAGCCAACCATAAATTGACCACATCAGAATGCAAGTTGATCGTGAACCAAATTCATGAATGCAAAAACTTTCTGAGAAGAAAATGGAAAAATCTCAAGACTGGAGAAAAGACCTCTGGTCTATTGATGGGTTTGATGCAAAGTCTGTTTGGCACTCCACAGCCTGCAGAAAGGCCAGTGAGAAGGCTTAACCAGAAGACACCAAAAAAGAAAGCCCTTCAGCCTGCAGAAGAGAAGCCTGAGCAAGCCCAGCACCTATCACTTTTTTAGAATCCCCAGCTGCCATTCTACCATCAGACCAAGAGGTGGAAATCGAAAGTACAGCTGCAAGCACAGCAGTGACACAACGAGGTCTGGAGCCTGCAAAAAGGCCATCGTGCAAAAAAGTGCCAAAGAAAGCGCCAGCCTGCAAAAGGCCAAGTGCAGCAAGAAAAGCCAAGGCATGTTGGAAGAAGAGCCTTTCCTTTGGGTTTGTTAAGGAAACCAAAGCTTCAAACAAGGCTTACATTGTGTCCAAGCCTGAAGAAGGCAGCAAGCCAACTTGCCTGGTGAATGTGCAATTGCCTAGGGGTCCTGACCAAGACAGAGCCATGTCTGCACTTATGGCTAAAGCCTGTGAAGAGGCAAGCCTGGAGAAAAAGCAGCTGGTCTCATACAAAGATCAGCTGCTGAAGGACATGCCAGCACAGCCTGCATAAAGGCACCCCTTGGTGAGGATCAAGGGACAGACAGCAAGCCATGGCGATGGAAAGGCAGGAGAGGGAAAGAAGAGGCCTTGAGCCTGGACCAAGGCAGTGCAGGGCAAGAAGCAAAAGCCAGCACAGGCCAAACCCTCCAGAACCTCCTAAACCAAGGAGGGCTCAGCCTGCACAAGGCACACCACCAGCCCAGCCTGAACAAGGCTGTTTCCAGAGCACCAAAGCCTGAACAAGGCCCAAGTCAGTCAACTGGTACAAAAGAAGAGACAGTTCCAGAATGCAAAAAGCCCAAGCCCAACGCAGAAAATGCATCAAAGCCTGCAGAGGCTGAGCAGGCAGTGGAGCCTGAGCCAGAATGAGCAGCCTGCACAAGGCCAGAATGAGCAGCCCAAAAAAGGAGATGATGCTGCTCATGATGGTGCTGATGATAAAGGCACTCTGGATTTCTGAGTGGGCACTGCACAGCTCAAGCCTGAACAAAGGCCAGCACACCCCATGGCTGAAGCCTGAACAAAGGCCAACTCCACCACTGGTCAGCTCAAGCCTGAACAAAGGCCATTCAAAACCACAGCTGTCTTCTTAGCCTGGATAAAGGCTTGTACAGAAATGGAGCTTTGGCAGCCCTGCAAAAAAGCTCTTTGGGTGGGGAGTGGGGTTTTGTGGTTGGTTGTTGCTGGTAGTGGTGGTGGTTGGTAGGTGTTGGATTAGGGGAAGCCTGGAACAGGTATACTACTTGAGATGTGAGTGGTTCACCCCCAAGGTCTTGAAGGTGAGTGGTTCACCCCCAAAATTGGTAAGGTGAGCCTGCGAAAGGCCAGAAACACCAAAGCAAAAAGTACAAAAAAGTACGAAAATCGTACTTTCGTACTTTTGTACTTTTTTATGTTTTTATATATTTCCTTTTAAATTAAGAGGAAATGTATAAAAAGTACAAAAGTACGAAAGTACGATTTTAGTACTTTTTCGTACTTTTTCTTACTTTTTGGATCTCTCAGCATCTCTGCTGCAGCTTTTGAAAAATCAAGGGCAGACCACCAACACACCAGAAAAGGACCACCAACACACCAGCACCTTCAAACAACCAACGCCACACAACAAGCACAAACACACCAAACCTGGCACCCACGCCACCTAGAAAGAGGCGGACCACCAGAGCCTGAACAAGGCGCCATTGTAGTGAAGCAAGAGACAGCCACTCCTCACAAAGACAAGCCTGAGGAAGGCACCCCTACCAAGGATTCTGCAAGGGGCTCGCCCCAAGCACCCAGAATCAGAATGAACAATTTCACCAAAAGCTGTAGCCAAGGCCAAGCCCAAGGCCAAGCCAGGGCCAAGGCCAAGGCCCAAAGTCAGCCTGCAGAAGGCCATTATGAGGCACCTTGGAAGGATGTGCGCTATCAGCTGCAGAAGCTGGAGAAGGCTGGAGTCTGCACAAAGTTGGCCCAGTGCTGTGCAGGTTGCGGTGAGCCTGCGCAAGGCATGGTGCCTCTAGGTATTCATGGTGATGGAGTGCCTGTGCTGCAAGGCAGAATGAACCAATCTAGCTTGGATTTCATCACTGTCAACCTCTTGGCCTCAAGGCATTAGAGTCCCCCTTACTTGCGTTGATGCCAAATTCATTGCAAGGCCAGAGACCACGCAGGCCATCTTGGAAGTTCTTGCTTGGAGCCTGAAACATTTGGTATTGGGAACGCAGCCTGCATTAAGGCATGATGGTGCTCCTTTCGAAGAATCCTTTCGATTGACAAGAATTGGCAAAAGCCTGCGCAAGGCTGTTGTAGT